CTTGTATTAGGAACTTTTATAGACCTATCCAAAGCATTTGACACAATTAATCATGATATCCTACTTAAAAAAATGGAAAAATACGGAATAAAAAATACTACCCTAGATTGGTTTAAAAGTTATTTATGCAACAGACAACAATGCGTTATTTCGAATGATAATAAATATTCAAATTTACTAGAAATTAAATGCGGAGTTCCCCAAGGTTCCATTCTTGGCCCTCTTTTATTTTTAATTTATATTAACGATCTTCCACAATCCCTAAAAAAACTTGATGCTGTAATGTTTGCTAATGACACAAATTTGTTTTATTCATCAGCATCAATTAAAAATCTCTTTGAATCTGTGAACAATGACCTTGATAATCTAAACACCTGGTTTAAAGTAAATAAATTATCTTTAAATACAGAAAAAACAAAATACATCTTGTTTCACTCCAACCATCAAAAAAATAATATACCAAGAATGCTACCATTACTAAAAATTGATAACATAAATATCGAAAGAACTAAAACCGTTAAATTTCTTGGGATAATTATTGACAAAACCATTTCTTGGAAAGCCCATATAAATAAAATAAATACAAAAATATCAAAAAGTATTGGCATACTCTACAAAGTCAAACCTTTACTTTCCCAGAAAAATCTTAAAAGTCTCTACTTTTCTTATATACAAAGTTATTTAAGATATGCTAATATTGCCTGGGGAAGTACAAATAAATCTAAACTAAATTCTCTATATGTACACCAGAAACACGCATCAAGATTGATTTATAATAAAAATAAATTCACTCATGCCGATCCTTTACTTAAAAACTTGAATGCGTTAAATGTCTATCAAATTAACATCTACCAAAATATTTTATTTATGCTCAAATATATGCTCGGGCTTGTCCCATCTCATTTTACTAATAACTTTTTTCAAACCTACGCTAACAGATATAGCACAAGAGGAACAGGAAATTTCACCCTGCCCATTAAAAAAACAAAATTTTCAAGATTTTCAATTGCATACCGTGGCCCCTACTTATACAACAAAATAATATCTCAAAATATAGAACTTACTAAATTAGATAATCTTACTATCCTTAAAAAAAAATTAAAAGATCTCATAATTAACAAAACCAATTTTATCGATATGTATTAAATGTAAAAGAAAATGAATATAATAAATGTAACAAAAACAATTTAAATTTTAAAATAAATAAATAAATAAAAATAATAATAATAATAATAATAAATATAGTAGCAACTATACATAGTAAAATATTACTGAACAGTGGACCTCAAAGTTAATGTGTGTTTTGTGAAATTACTCTTTAAATTTTTTGTTCGTTTTGCATTTTAAAGGTTCTCGATGAAAAGACTTCTCTTAGTCTTCTGCGAGTTTCCTTACAACAACATAGCGTTATTATGATATATTAATATATTTTTTCAACGATAACCACAAGCAAGTCCCTAGTAGCATGGGTTAATAGCCAGCACTTTATATTATAAACCACGGTTTTTTACTTTTTATTTATTTATTTTTTTTTTATATTTTTTTTGTTTTTCTCTTAACATTTCTAACCCACTGTAATACGCCAAGCGTGAAACAGCATTGTTAACGCTCTTTAGATATTGCAAATATGTGTGGTGGACATTTATATAAACTGGAGTCATGTAAATATTTGTTCTTGAAATATATAATAATTGTTGTAAAAAAAAAAAAAAAAAAAAAAAAAAAAAAAATTAAAGGAATTATTTTCACGAAACAATTATATTGCTAATCCTTTAAAAAGATTAAAAATATACTTACATGAGTCACTGACTATTTATCGTTATTAATATTTATTTAAAATTGCGGACATATTAAAAGGGCCATGCAAATTACGGGATTGCATAGGGCGCCAGCGTGGCTAGGGCGCCGTGCTGGTGAAGCCTACTTTTTTTCCTTGCTTTTTAATTTAAAAAAAATAAACATAACTTTGATTTAAAAAAAATAAACCTAAATATAATTTTTGGCGTCCATAACGTATACAAATACTGAGTTGTTTACATATTAAGGGCGCCAAAGTTTATATCCTAGACTATGGAGGGTTTACTTTTGCTCAGCACTTTAATAAAATAATAGTTTGATGGAGGGTTGCGCAAAACTCGGACGCTAGGAGCAAAAGACGTTAGAAGAAAATTCACAACCTCAAGATTTAAAAAACATTTCTGATGAAGTTTTTTTTTGTATAAGAGCGTTTTAACTTAAAACCAATATATACCAATATGATTACGTCAAATTTTCATTTAAGTTTTATCCTTTTCTTGAAAAAATAAGTTTTATACAAATACAGTACACAGTTTTGTTTTAAAACAAGTTTATTTTGTGTGTACTGCAGAAAGCTTTGTATTATCCTTTAATTTTGGACTGCACTCCTGACGTAAATTGTAAGGAAAAAATGACACTTGTAGTTTGGTTTGTCTATGTAGTTTCAGGAAAAGAATAAAAAGCAAGGGAACATTTTCTTGGATTTGTTCAGGTCTCAGATACATTTAGGCAAGGGTTGACATCTCGGTTGTTAGACAAGCTTTTAAGGAATCGTTGTTAGACAAATTTATAAGAATATCCTTACAAAAAATACAAAAAACAAACATGAAAAGAAATAATGTAGGCGTACAAAGGGTTCTTTACCTACAAGCTTTTTTTGTTTCTTGGGAAGTCATTTACAAAACCTTGTTTTCAATAATGCAGCACCTTCCTGAACTGTAGCTGTTAACTTTTTCAGCAATATGCAAGAGGCTCATAAATTTTTTTCTGGATCAAACCATAAATGGAGTATATTAACAAATCATGCAAAAAATTTGAATGTAAAAACTTTAGATGAAACCCATTGAGAGAGCAAGATAGACGCCCTTGAATCTTTACAATACCATATGGTTGTGGTTTATGACGCTGTGTATGAATCCATGATGACTTTCAAGATTGGTGCTTTTGGAAACGTACCGTTATGGGAATCGCCAAGAAAATTACAGATTTTTAAATTCCTCTGCTGTTCTGTCACTTGGTATGGTGTTTTGTTCAAATTTAATTTAGTAAGCAAAAAACTTCTGGTGAAAACTGTTAATCTGCAAAGCGTTTAGAAACTTTTTGAAAATTTGGAGACTTGTTTGGAGAACATGAAATTGGATCATCACAGATGCAATGAAACTGGCGAAAAAACTGGACATCAATCCAAAGTTCTCTGATGAAGTTGTGGTCAAACAATTTTTCATGAAGGTAAAGATGATCCTGTGAAGTCGGCGAAGAAGACTTTTAAATTAAATTTTTCTGTAGTTTTGTAGACACTGCAATTAATTCTTTGTCAGAATGATTTGAACAGACAGATAATCACAGCAAACATTTCGAATTCCCCTCTAACATAAAAAAATGTGAAACAGATGCAATTAAAGTAAAGTGCAAAAACCTGCGTTCCAGTTTGGCAGCTGATGGCAAGAGTGACGTTAATCGAAATGAACTGTTTGGTGAAATTGTAATCTTAGCTCCAATGTTAATGAACGAAAGCTGCCCCAAAACAACAATTTCTTATATTATCAAAACCGTTTGATTGACATCATTCCTAATGTGTATGTAGCATTAGGATTTTTGCTTGCCCTTCCCGTATTAGTGGCACGAGGAGAAAGTAGTTTTTCTAAATTGAAGATCATCAAAAAGTACCGTTGATTAACCTTATAAACGTCTAAGTGGATGGCCACATTAGTACCACGTTAGCAACTAAACACCAGTTTTAGTACAATTGAAACCGGTTCATTTTTGAAAGACTTTGCTAAACTGAAGGCAAGAAAAGTTTGTTATTTGATGATATTTCATTGTTTAATTTTATTTTATACTTGATGATATTTCATTGCTTAATTTAATTTATATTTGATGATATTTCATTGGTTAATTTTATAATGTGTCAATATAACTGCACAATATTTGTTTCTTCCCAGTGAAAAAAAACCGTGTCCCACATGGGTTCCATATAGATTTCGTGTGGGATTCATGGGTTTTATGTGGGGTGGATTTTCCCATGAGGGGTTACGCATGGGATTTAACCATAAAAAATTCCGTTTAATAAATCCCATGTGGGATATATGTGGCAATTATGTGGTATTTATCCATATGTTGGTTTTTGTGTGGGATTTGTATGGGTTTTTATTGAAGACTGGAAACTAAAGAGTGTTTTGATTCTAAATTCGTCATTACATTGCTAACACGGCTATTGACATTTTAACAGGAAACGTAGTTACTCATTATTAAGACGTAGTTATTTTTGTAAAATAAATTTTTCATTGTATAATATTAACAACAATATTTTATGAAATTTTTTCTTGGTTCCGAATCACTGTAATAAAATTATTAAATAATGAAATAAGTTAATAATGAAAAAAGTAACTGTACAAGCTATTGTTATTTTATTACCATAACAAGATCTCCTTGTCCTCTCGAGTGGGCAAGTTTTATTTTCAAAACTTAAAAATTCATAAAGTTTAAGATGAATATGATTTTTAAATACCTTAGACTTACTTGTAATAAGGAACGCTCAATATAGACAACAATAAAACTAAAGCTAAAGTATAACTATTTTTTCAACAATTAAAAATATACTAAGCATATAGATATAACAGCAGTTAAAATTTAACTATAGTCATTTCGCATTCACACATTGGTAAACATCATTTGAATAATATTATGTTATAATATTATGTGAAAAGAAAAATTAACTTTTTATTTATTTTGTATTAAGTAATCAAGTTTCAAGTTTGAAATTAGTTATAACTTTATTCTACAGAATGGCAAGCAAGTATGTAAGTATCTCAAATAATTTATCTCTTTCTAAACATAGTAGTATTTAATGCAAATATTTAATATATTATTTCATAAAAAAAGAAATTTTTTTATATTATTTTTTTATATTATTTTTTATGTTATTTTTAAAAATTATACTATACTATATTATACTATATTATATTATATTATGCAAAGGTACAATGGCTCAGTTATTCGAACGATGCAACTGTTGAAAAATCAGTAAGTAGAGTGATGAGATCTCTTTATTCGTCTCAAATGGCAAAAGAAACAAATAGAACTAGTAAGAATGGCAAATTGGCCATGAATTTGATAGAGGATCTAGTAAAAGGTAACTTCATTTTTTTCTTTTAATATCTTTTATAACACACCTAGCATTATTACTAATTCATTCACCTAGCATTATTAGTAATTCATTCACCTAGCATTATTACTAATTCATTCACCTAGCATTATTACTAATTCATTCACCTAGCATTGTTACTAATTCATTCATCTAGCATTATTACTAATTCATTCACCTAGCATTATTACTAATTCATTCACCTAGCATTATTACTAATTCATTCACCTAGCATTATTACTAATTCATTCACCTAGCATTGTTACTAATTCATTCATCTAGCATTATTACTAATTGATTCACCTAGCATTATTACTAATTCATTCACCTAGCATTATTACTAATTCATTCACCTAGCATTATTACTAATTCAATTACTAATTCATAATTAAAACTCATAATAATATAATTGCGTTACAATTAACTATTAAAATAGACTTATTTTATTTTTTAAGCTTCTTTTTAATTATTATATATACTTATATTTCTCTTTTACAGAAAGTGTCAGGAAAAAGCATATCAATGGGGAGAACGTTACCATTGAGCGAGCACTGACTAACCATTTTATTAATGCAAGAGATAAAGGTGGGCGTCATAATCGGAAAAGAGTTACCAACAATGCTTCAAACTAATAGCTGTATCACTATCCTAATGTAATTGTAAATTTAATGGAATAAAAATAAATTCATTTTTCGACATATTTTCAAATTTTCGAGAATGTCGTTTAAATATTAAACGGCAAAAGCCATTAAGGCTATGGGTAGAAAATACTGCATACGTAATAGATCTTAAATGCCACATATATTTAATACCAAACAGAATAAAGTAGCGAATACCACATAAATGTGTCTATCTGAAAGCTTCAATTGTTATCTTTAAATAATTAAAGTTATATCATCTTTTAAAATATCGTTGAAGCATTCACTACTTTCATATATAAGTATATAAAAGTATATCTATACTTTCATGTGTGTGTATATATACTTTTACTCTATACGGATCAAACTTTATGCGGTAATTAAGATCTATAACATATGTGGTATTTTCCACCTATATACCATATAGAATTTAACCTAAAAACCCATGTGGGACAAAATAATAATTTCCGTATGTTTTACATGTGGTAAAAACCACGAGTATTTCATGTGGGATTTACCATACATATCTCATGTTGGATTTACCACCTATATCCCATGTGGGATTTATCATATGAAACCCATGTGGAATTATCTATATGAAACCCATGTGGGACAAAATAATAATTTCCACATGGGTTACATGTGAAAAATACCACCCGTATCCCATCTACGCTTTTTCACTGGGTTTGATCAAAAATTTTATGACGCTAACAATTCTCCAATCAGTTTTTATGTAATGTACGGTAAATATTTAATTGGATAATATGTTTTTATTGCATTTTAGGGCTTTTAACAAACATGCGCAATTTATAATAAGCATATCATTATACTTTGATTTTATCGTAATTACCGTCGTGAAAAGTTATTGATTTATTTATATAACCAATTTTACTAATATATTTGATTGTTGAATTAAATCTTCAAGAAACATTCACATTAACAATACTTTTCCATTTAAAAACTTATAAAAATATTAGACCCTCAAAATTATTAGGGGGTGCCAAATCTTAATCTCGCATATACCAAATAAAATACTTGAACCGCCCCTCCATATTATGGTTGTTGAAATTCGATACCGATGAATAAATGTCAATTTTATTTAGGGATTGTAAATTTACCGACTTTTTGATTTACTGGTAATTCTGTAAATCAAAATTGAAACATCAGTAAGTCGGTAAATTACCGATAAACTTTATTTATCAATAAATCAATACAACTTTTATTAAATATCATTTTTTCAAAAGTAGCTTCGAATAAAGCTTAAACTATCTAGTGTCTTGTCTCCTAAACGAGATCTAAAGTTAGTCCAGCTCCTGAAAATGTTCTTTCAGGTTCAACACTTGTTGGACGAATGGTCATCAAATAGTCAAAAACTATTTGAATGTAACTTCCCTCGTATACTTTCTTGTCAAAAGTTCTCCAACTCTTCTTTTATAACGACCTTTTGTCTCGCTTTCTTCTAAAACAGATATTCCTTTATTCTTGACCGTTTGTTTTTAAAGAAAAAGATAAAGTTTTTCCTTCATAGAAAAATCAGCATTTGGTTTAACAGTAATGAGGTCGCTATTTAAATCGAATCTGATTCATTTAGGTGTCTTTGAATACTCTCACCAGATTCTGCATTATTGTACAAAATATTTTCTACAATAGTTTTAACAATTACGGCTTTATTCCTTATATAAAAATGCCATATTTGTCTTTAGCAGAAATAATATCATTAGGGTCTGTTATATATTGTAACACGTCTGAAATTATCATTCTTCTTTCTTTAATACAACTTATTAATTCACTTTTTAGTGCAATACTTAAAAAAGTGTTTTGATTACTTAACTAGTCTAGCATAAATTTTAATGTAAGATCGTCTACATATAAATTAACCTTTTCATAGCAGAGTGTTTCAACGGCCAACCTAATTACCTAACATACGCTAATATTGCATGGGGAAGTACCCATAAAACTAAATTAAATTCACTCTACATACACCAGAAACATGCATCGAGATTAATTTATAATAAAAATAAATTCACTCATGTCGACCCTTTACTTAAAAATTTGAATGCATTAAATATCTATCAAATAAATATTTACCAAAATACCTTATTCATGCTAAAATACAAACTCGGACTTGTTCCGAAATACTTTACTGATAGTTTTTTTCATATCAACGCAAACAAATACATCACACGAGGAACAGGCAACTTCACCCTGCCTTTAAAAAAACAAAATTCTCGCGATTTTCTTTAATATACCGTGGCCCATACTTACATAACAAAATAATACTTCAAAATATGGAACTTAATAAAATGGATAACCTTATTGCTCTGAAAAAAAAACTAAAACATATCATAATTAACTTAACCAACTTCATCGAAATGTATTAAACAATTTGTGAAAAATAGTAATAATAAAAAGCCCTACTACTTCTACTATATAGTAGATACCAAAATACTTATGTGTATTTATTGAACTAGTTCATTAAAGTTTATTTTATGTTTTAAAGGTTCTCGATGAAAAGACTATTTTAGTGTTCTGCGAGTTTCCTTACAACAAAGTAAATATTTTTTAAGAATAATTATATATATATATATTCAACAACGTCCACAAGCAAGTCCCTAGTAGCCCTGTGGTACGACGGACTTGCATATATTTTTTAAATGTATGGGTTAATAGCCAGCACTTTATATTATAAACAACGAATAGTTAGTTACCTTATTTTGTACACCGTACCCCGCGCATGCGCTAAACAGAATTTTGAATTTCTTTTGTCTTGTAAAAATTTTAATGGTACAAAAATTGTTTAATTGTACGTTTTGTACTTATATGTAAAAATATGTAATTTTGTTTTATTGAAATATATACGTATACATTTGTTGTTAAAAAAAAAAAAAAAAAAAAAAAAAAAAGGACTTTTTATTTTATCCGCTTTTTTAGGTAGAAGGACTTTTTATTCCGCCTTTTTTTTTTAAAATAAGTTTCTACATGTTTTTTATGCCAAATTTTATGGAAAAATATTCTGTAGCAGATAGTTAAATCAGTTTAACACTTTTGGTAGCTAATTTTTGTTTTTCAAAAATAACGGAGATGGGGTAGGGGGTAGTGGTGGGAGAGGATTCTATTATAATATTTATTGCAATATTGTTTTACTAAGATTTTAAGAAATTAAACTTATATGGATGAAAACATGGATACTCAAACTGTTAGTAAGTTCATATGTTTTTTCATAATAATTTTATTGTTCATAATTTTTACAAGCGTATTTTTTTTAAAATTTTAAAAATTGTTAACTTCATTGACTAGATTAAACTTATTTAAGACTCTTTTTTAAAATACTACCTTTTTTTTGTGGTATTTACATCATTGTTTTATTTTTTAGTTACATTATTATTTAGTTTGTTAGTCACATCATTGTTTTTATTGTTAGTTACATCATTGTTTTATTTGTTAGTTACACCATCGTTTTATTTGGTAGTTACATCATTACTTTATTTGTTAGTTAGATCATTGTTTTATTTGTTAGTTACATTATTGTTTTATTTGTTAATTATACCATTGCTTTATTTGTTAGTTTTCTTTTTTTCATCCTTTATCTGTTGCTAGCAACAGATATGGATGAAAAAAAGGTGTAATTAAAAAAAACTTTTTGGCAACAAATCCAACAAATCAAATAATTGTGTAACTAACAAATAAAAAAATGGTGTAACTAACAAATAAAACAATGGTGTAACTAACAAATAAAACAATGGACCGTTACATATAATTACATCGACAATATAAATATGCGTATAAATATAAGTAAATTGTTAATAACAATAGATTACAACTTTTGTTACTTCATTTTCATTAAAAACCTTAATAAAAAAGTTAATTTCATCTTGAATGTTATGTTTTATTTTGTATGCTCGAGCTAAAAACTTTTAAAAATACCAACTGCGATATTCGGTGAAATGGATGATTTTGATTTTATAAGTACGTTTTTAATTGCATCTTTACGGTGTATGAAAAACTAATATTTGTGAAAGAAGTGATTGATTGAAATACAAATATCTAAAAAATTTAATTAGTGTTGAGTATTTTTGTGTTCGCATTTATATTGAATAGATTTATCTAGTGAATTTAAAAGTGTTAAAAAAGAATTTGCGTCATCAATGTTAGTAAAACGAGCATGGATATCATCCACGTAACGTTTATAAGATTTTGGTGAAATATTGATGTTCACAGCCTGTTGAACAGCATTAGATTCAATATGTTGTAGATATGCTTCTGACATTATGGATAGACCCATTGAACCAGAGTTTTTTAAAATATACAGTATTGGACAAAAAATTTGCAACCAACATCGAGCAATGCTGAAAAGTGTTCCTAATTTTACATGTCTTACAAACGAAACGAACTATACTACCAAAACAAACAGTTCATGAGTCTGGATTCATAGCATGCCATGATATGAGCAATCAGCTGACAGGTGACAGCACACAGGTAGAGTTTCGTTGACAAGTGCCATTTTGCAGCGGACAAAACAAGTGCAAATTTTTGGTTTGTTTCATTTTCTTAAGTCTGGTCCGTGTCAACGTCATGGAAGTTTTTTAATAACTAGAGGAAGTATCCAGAAGTTTCCAGAAGTTTCCAGAAACATGAAGAAGCTTCCAGACGCATCTAGAAGCTTCCAAAAGCATCAAAAAGAAGCATCTAGAATTTTCCAGAACAGGTTCACACAGGCTCATTTTACGATATAAGAGACATGTAAACCGACATGTAATTCAGTCAGTATATGGTCAATCAGTCAGTATCATCAAGACAGTTTATCGAAGTGAGTTTTATCAAATTGTTTTATCAAAGAACATCAATACAAGAAGTGAAATACAACAAGTGTTTCATTACATCAATACAGTCCACAATCAAGACGTTGGGTTCCACAGAGCATTATTGTATTACCACAAGGTAAATATAACACGGTAAGCCTTGAGAAGCGTGATTATTTATTTTTATTATTTTTATGACAATAAGTGCAAAAATGGCTCCCAACAATCTTGGATTGGAACTAAGAAAGAAAATTATTGG